CGACCAGAGTCACGGAATGAATTAAGTTCGTAACCCGAGGTACCACTGTACTTCTTTCATATTTTGGATTCAATTCACATTCATTCATTGCCTATTCTACCACCCTCATTTATTAAATAAACCATTCTCATTGCATTCAACCTATTTATCCTGATATGTCTAGTTCTCAATTCCAAAGAACAAGGTGGGCATAAACATGCTGTTATACAGAGCTGTTTTCATTTCTTCTTTGCAAAAGACCATACACAACACACCACTTTTCCATCAGCATTTGCACACCTTAATATTTCTCTATCTGTGGAGTTGTCGGTGTTCTCTGAGCTTGGTTGTTCGATTGCAGACATTTCATTACCTGACTAGATAACATCATCGGTGCTTCTGAGTGTGGGGTTCCTCCTTGTTTACATACAGTAGCTTGCCCTGGCAGTGTTGATGGAGGTGTGGTTTTCTGCTTGGTAGGGTATTGTCTGCTTGATTGTTTGTCTCCTTGGTGGTTCCTTGATTAGAGTATTGTTTTCTCCTTGTTTATCTGGTGTCAATCCCTGCTTATCTGAGTGTAAGCTGCTGGGGAGGATGTGTTCTGGTCTTTTGTTTCCTTCTTAGCTTTCTTATTGTCTTTTTTGGATGGTGTGTAAATGTGGTTTATCTCTATGTGTCTATTGATGGCTGATGTGTCTGAGTGCCGAGCTTCCAGGAATTCCCTAGTGTTTTTGGATTTAGCTTGGTCTAGGATGCTCATGGTTTCCCAGTTGAAACTATGGTTGAGTCTGTCCATGTGTTGTGAGATTAAAGAGTTTTCATCATGTCTTCTGCCTGTCTGTCCTACATAGTGGCTATAACAGTCCCTACACTGCACGTTGTAGATAACTCCTGTTTTTTCTTCTTGGGTTACTGGGTCTTCTGGTTTACTTAAGATGGTTTGGTGGGCTTTAGTTGGTTTATGTGCTACAGTAAGCCATGTGGTTGTAATAGTCTGTTGGTTGTTTCCGAGATGTTTCTGATGTATGGCAGTGTTATCTTTTTCATAGCTTGTGTTGGTTGTGCTGTAGTGGGTTGAGTGATCAGGCCCTTTTTGATAAAGTTGCGTAGGTATCCATTTAGTTGGAAGATGTTGAATAGGTGATCTGTTTCCTTGTTCTGGTGTTCTGGGTTGCTGCAGTGCATTTGTGCTCATCTGAATAACCTTCTTACACAGCTTGTCTTGTGGGTTGGGTCGTTACTTTGGTAATGGAGCACTTGGTTAGTGTGGGTTGTTTTTCAATAGATGTGTTT